GAAAGATGGCACAGTTATTTGCCTCTTCAGTATTTTTAAGATTTCAGACCCATTGCCATCACTTTAGCTACTTTGGGGCCATGTTCACTTCCTTTTAGCCCTCTATAGGTCACCTAATAGCTTACAAATGGATGACTTATGTCTGTGCTGTTTGTGATGTTTTGGCTTCTTTATTCATTTAACAAATGCTAGTATTAAATTCAGGACATGCTTGTGACAATTCATTAAAACTTAGTGTAGAAAACTGATGAGTTAAGTCCTAGACACATTAACAGGTTAGCCTGTAGCAAGTCAAGTTTTCCCAGCTTTAAAAAAGCATGAACACATGATACAAACTGAGAAGTGACATAGCCCAACCCCAATAATGGCAGATTTATTCTGGGATGAATTGGGACCAGTTTTCTTATGCTTTCATATGTCTTTCCATATGGCCTGCACATTTTTAATGCTTCCAGATGCACAACCTACTTGCTTATTTCTGCACAGCTGCCAGTCTGCTATTTGCTGCACATTTGCCTATGGTTTGGCTTTTTCCTTAACATGTCATGTGGTAGGTGGCTGAAACAATACTAGTTTAGCATATCAGAGCCTCCCCTCTTTGTATTCAATCCTTTTTCCATGTGGATCCCATTCAGAGCAGGAGAATCCAAAATGAGGATATTCAGTAGTTTCAGTGGATGTGTTAAACTATTTGTAGACCAGTAGGGCTGATATTTTATGAATTCCATCATGAACTGTGTTGGTTGTAGCTGTATTGGTCTAAGGACATATGCAGTAGGGGTGTGCAAAATGAGCCATATTCAATTTGGATTTGGCCTGAATCGGGGACAGTAATTCAATTAATTGATTCAAATCACTGCCCTGATTCAATTCAGCTGAATCTGAATCTAAAGATTCAGTGCTGATTCGGAGAATCAGCGATTCAGCTACAGACACAGCTTTAAATGTTTTTTCTACATACCTTGAGGTACCAGGCGCAGCTCGTGAATGCTGCAATGGTGGGGCAGATGGAGCGTCCCACAGGAGCATGGTGGGGGCCCCCCCACGTGTGGACCAGAAGTACTTTCTTGTCCTGATTGGCCGAGGAGGCACCAGTTGCTGGCTTCTTTACTTTTCATTCCATCCAGGAAGAGCACACACCAATTGCAGAAACTTCCTCAGCCTGACGAAGGGTTTTTGAACCCGAAAGCTTGCTTAATAACTGTTTTCCAACTATTTAAGTTGGTCTAATAAAAGATATCAGATTCACCCAAAGAACCTTGTCTGCCTTGTTGAGTGAAAGCCTTTTTGAGATTTGTTAGGTGACGATCATGGGTGTTCTGTACATTACAGCTTTCTTTGTGTGTATAGGGTGATTGCTGGTTCTGTGTGGATATGTATGTTGGTCGATGGGTTTCTTGTATATGTTGGTTTGTATTTTACCATTCTGGATAGTGTTAGTGTCTAAAAAGGAAACGGTGCTGGAGTATTCAAGAGAGAGCCTGATGGAGGGGTGATGGTTATTGAATTTGTGATGGAAATCAATCAGAGACTTCAGGTTTTCAATCTAAATGATGATATCATTTATATATCTTAGGTATAGCATGTATTTTGTGGTGCAGTTCTTGAGGAATTCTTCCAGGTGACCCATAAAGAGGTTGGCATATTGTGGGGCCATTTTGGTGCCCATAGCTGTGCCCATGGTGTGGAGAAAGTGTTGGTTATTGAAAGTGAAGTTGTGTGGGAGGATGAAGTGTATAAGTAATTAATATCTTTAGGTCTGCACTCTGAGTTGTAATCTTGCTCTTGTAGATACATAAGGCAGGCTTGGATGCCATCCTGGTGTGGGATGTTGGTATATAAGCTGGTAATATCTAGGGTGGCTG